ATGGCATTTAATCCAGATATGTTAGTAAAAAAACTTCGATTTTCGGAAAAAAATAGCGCTCGACAAGAATTCTTTCTCTTCCGCCATTTTGAACTGACCGCCCGCGCTAAATTCAGCGGAAAACCACAATGCGCATCCTCAGTTAATATTTCGAATTAACCAATCACGCGTTTTTAAGCCGTGTCGGATTTAATCTCATTTTTTTGTTTCTCACCACAGGTATCCCAAGCGTTCACAATCATAAGCTCAATAACAATGACTTGTATACTTCAAATTTTTAAACTCAAAAAATCTAATTAGGAAATTTTATAGCCTTAAACAATATTTTTAAAGGTTTTACATATTTTAAAGCGATGTACGAAAAGCATATACAAGTTAGCGTAATGCTTTATGTGCGCACTAAAAATAAGGGGCGCACAATTTTAATTAACTATTTTTCCTTATTTTTTACCTTCAAAATGTGCTGTAACGTGGAGTTGAACTTAAATGATAGGAATTAATCAATAGAAAATATCCTCTAGCTTTATTCCATCCAGCATGAAGCCCGAAAGCATGAAACATCCAGTCATTAAAATACGGTAGTGTTTGTTTGAAGACAAAAAGTCTTCCATTATTTCTGGAGATAGAGAACACAACAATATTCATGAGGATCTCTTGTTAAAAGTTTTTTTGACGGAAGACAAACTTACGGTTAATTTGAAATTATAAATCATAATACCTTCAAAGCATGAGCCACAGGCATGGCCGGCCCTGTGATAAGCTGTGAGAGATAATAAACTGGATAGCCATTGCATGTTTATTCTTATGAGAATAAAACCTTTGTTTAACCCGCATACTTTTATTCTCATGCTCGCGCTGGAATGCAAAGCTACGCATGGGAAAATCTACTGTTCCAGCGTGTGAGTAATAAGAAACAGGTCTATATTGCAAACAATATGTTATTATTCCTTATGAATGTGTAATATATTGTACGATTGGTTGAGTTTAGACTCTAGAGAGTGTCTAGAGAACAGAAAATAGTTGAAAATGAAAAAAAAAAAAAGATTATTCTCAACTGAGATTTGGAATTTATTGAAAAAAGGCGTAGTGGGCTAACTGTGTTATTCCCCTCACAACAATAAACAGGAAGCCCAAATTGCTTCAAATTTAAATTCGTTTTTCTCTCTATTACTAGAAGAGTTAAAAGATTTCCCCTACGCTCACATATGACACATCTATGGATCTACTACATATCTCAGTTTTATTGAAAAACGAACTTAAAAAGTACCCGAAATAAGGAAAATGCTAAAACAGCTATACCGCTGACCAAACCTTATTTTCACCAAAACTTATGACCTCTATAAAATCTTCAATATAGTTCTAATCCAAAACATATCTTCAGAAACATGTTGACCTGGTCCTACGCTTTCTAAAGAAGTGTATTTCGTTTAAAAAAGCTTAATATTTCGATTTACGAAAATTTGGACCCACCGAAAAAACGCTTATTTAGAGATTCCAACTTCAAGCGGCTTGTTTTCTATGAAATAGAGCAAAAACTCGAAATATTTTTAGCCACAGATTTAAAGGTCCTTTGATACTTTTAGATACGTTTAAAACAATCTAAATAAAGTTTTTCTTTCATTTTTTTATTGAGGGTTTTTTGACTGGCCGAG